TCATTAAAACTGAAAGTAAAAATAATAATAGCTTTAATGGCTTTTATATAAATTATGTATTTAATTCAGAAACAATTGTGATTTATTTGCATAGATTAGTTTTATAAGTTAGTCATTCGACTTAAAGTTGGATTCTACCAATGATGCATTTTTTAATTTACTGTACCGGTAGCCCAAATTTTCTGCAACCAATAAACTATCAAAATTCACCGGCTTGTCCATGGGCATTTGGATATTTATAAGTTTGGTTAGCAAGCCAGCTGATAAGAGCTTTGACATTAATCAGTCCATGGCTTGTTCGTGGCATTTTCAATGTCAATACATTAAATCAACACTTTCCTACCTGTTAAACTATGTTAGTGGCTTAATTAAATTAATCATCAAACTTCCTCGAGTCGACAATTTTCATTCCCTTTTGAAGTTTGTAGTTTATCAACTTTAAATTTATATATTAACATATACTTGTAATTAAATATGATTTAATTATCATTTTAATGATATAAATTATTTGTTATTAAAATATTCTTCGTTACCGATATAAATAACTTAAAAATTAGTTTTTAATTACTGAAGAAAGTGAATTACTTAACTTACTTTTTCATAGCTGTACAAACGTTTTGTCAAAAGCTAAATACTCTTAAACAGAGTATGGTATCAGAAGATGAGACTCTAGAGAAATGAGCGTAAATAAACAACCGAAGTGATACAATATATACAATTTAAAAACCAGTTGGAGCGAGTATGATATACCATCTTTAAATGGCTTTTGTTTTTGTAAATTCACCATTTGTATGGTTTTTTGGCGTCTGGTAGGTTAGTATAATCGCAAGAGCCCTCGAGTAAGGATCACTCACTGACCTGAAGAAACTTAAAAATGTAAACATTAAACTACTTCAACTGGTGACAAAATTTAGTGGTAACAATGTTTTCTGTTTCAGGTTTATTTTACCTCTTGTTCTGTGGATAGCTTCCACAAATCTTTGCCTGGCCCAGTATTTTATTAATCGCCCCAACCACAACCTTCGGGAGTTCAAGTTTCCCTCAGAAAACAAGGCGCTGCCAATAGTTTTTGAGTGGAAGAACATTCAATATGGTTTTCCCAGCGAACAGGAAAGGGAGCAGGTGCTCCGAAATGGTCGCTATAACCCAGATAGTCCTATACCCATCGATATTGATGTTTATTACCCACGTAAGCATAACATAAATATAAGGGGGATTTACATAACAAGTTAATTAAATTCGGCCTACAACCAATTTAATCTAAATTTATAAATTACGCAACTTTCATATATTTTAATAGGAAGTGGTTGGCATTTTTGCTCTTTGCTATGTTTTCAATGAAACCATTTTAAGCTTTTTTCAATAAAACAATATGGGATTCATAATACATATACTATTTATATAAGCCATTATTCTTTTAAATATACTTGTCCAACTTTTAAACGAATATCATCAAAAGTTAAACAATTTAAAATCAAATTCTGTTACTTCTTTATTTTTGTCTCCTTCTTAATTATATTGAATATTTCAGGCAATGGTGGTCCCGCCCGAAACTTTGTGACAACACCTCGTTTTGGACAGGGAGTTCCCTATTCTCTGGCCTACGTTACGAATGTGCAGGGGCGAAATGGCAGTGAGATCCAGGCATATCCCAGTTACCAATGGCACAGCAGCCATGGAGCGAACTGCGATGGTCTGACGTCCGTGTATCGGGTCCACATCGATCCCTGCGGTCGGATGTGGGTCCTGGACAGTGGCGAAATAGAGTTTGTGCAGCACTGCGCCCCGCAAGTGGTGGTCTTCGACTTGGCCACCGACCAGTTGGTCCATCGCTATCGCTTACCCGAAACCTCTTACAAGGCGAAAGTAAGCAGATTCGTGAACATCTTAGTGGACATCAGGGATCCACCGCCCAAGGGACAATGCAATGAAGTTTTTGCCTATCTGGCTGATCCCACCAGTAAGGCCATCGTGGTGTACGATGTGGCAGGACAAAATTCGTGGCGCATTGAGAACAAGTTCACCTATCCGGATGCCAAGTTCGGCACCCACACGGTGGCAGGTGAGAGTTTCGAGCTGTTGGATGGACCTCTGGCCCTGGCAGTGACTCCATTGGGTCTGGGAATGCGCCGTCATCTGATTTTCCACGCTTTGTCCAACGAACTGGAACTAGCCGTCCCACTGGATATCCTGAATAATGCTACAAACTGGAAAAGTGGCTTTAGTGCCTCCCTCTCGGCATTTGTATCCTTGGGCAGAAGGGGAGTTCAGTGCGCCTCGCATGCGATTAGCAGGCGTGGAATATTGTTCTGCGGCTTCCTAGAACCCATCGGCATTTTCGGCTGGGACATACGAACACCCTACGACCGGCAGAATGTCCAACTATTGGCCCTAAATCCGGATACCCTGCAGTTTGTGAGCGGAATGAAGATTGTGCAGAGGCCTGCGGATGGGCGGGAGGAACTGTGGCTGCTGTCGGACCGGCTGCAGAAGATATTTACCGGAACCATCGACTACAGGGAAATCAATTATCGGGTGCTGCGCTGCGATGTGGACGACCTGCTGCAGGGGCGGGGCTGCTTTTAGAACCCAGACCCTTCAGAACTGAGAGGCTGGCTGTGTAAACACTCTTTAAGCCGCCATAAAAGATGTCCATCCATTAATCTTGGGACTATTCGAAAGTGTTTGCTTGGCCGCCACAGGTACACGACCTTTGTCTTTGATTACGATTGACCATCGTAACATGGTTATACACTCGGAAAAATAATTACAAATAAATCAAATTTGATCGGGAATTTAATTTATTTTGTAATTATATGCAATTTTTAATTTCATTTTTAGTTTCATTTTTTGAGATTTAAGAATCCCATTGAAAATGGTTGATCCCAACGTATTAATAAATAAAATATTTACAAAAAATGTTTGAATCTTTATAATTTTTATATATATTTTATTATATATTTAATATTACTGTTTGAACATTTCTGAAAAGATTTCTTTAATTTACCAATTAAAGATAATTCAATTTCTAGCATAAATGGTTTGAGTGCACTTTCGACAAAGGCTAGCACCTTTTGCGCCTACCTGCACATCTTCAGTCTTCGGAAACCGTTTGAACAGCATGGAACTGTCACTTTGCAGGTCCTCACTTAGTGTCATGATAACAATCTTCCTCGGCTTGTTCTGTGTGGTTCGGGGCCAGCAGTTGGTCCTCAAGGAGCTGCACACACTCCACAAATGGACGAATCTCAGTTTGGGTGACAGCCTGTCCAAGGACAATCGCTTCCTGCCGGTGGATGTGGACATTGAGTACGGCGATGAGGGTAGACATCGCACCTTCCTGACAATCCCGCGTTTGGGCATGGCCACACCCTTTACACTGGCCACCGTGGTTGCGGATGACAACGCAGTGGTGGAGAATCCCAGGCTGGAGGCCTATCCCAGTGAGGAGTGGCATGTGCCACCCAATAATTGCTCGGGCATCACCTCCGCCATTAGGACGTATGTGAGTGCCGTGATCCTTATTTCTTTATATAGTTATACAGAACCTGCCTATAGTTATAGTTTATTTTACAAAATAAAACTAGTTTGGAGATTGTCCACCAAGCGTATACGAATTAGACAAAATGCAGAGCAATAAACTTTTAGAACTTTTAGTTTTAAGTATTCCTTTATAGCAAATCTGATCGTTTTATGCCATGATTAAAAAAAATACAAAGAAAGGACGTCTGTTGGCAACAGTGGGCATGAAAGTTCTAAGACGTTAAAAATCATATCTATGGGTTTTTAAAAAATATCATAATTAATTGTATGCAATTTTTAACTAAATTTTAAATTAATATCTAAGCTTTATACTTTAAACAAAAATGCATAACTTGCACAGATAGACGAATGCTGGCGGCTCTGGGTGGTGGACTCGGGACAGGTTAACTCCATACAGCTGTGCCCGCCGCAGATCCTGACCTTTGACCTGGTCAAAGATGAACTAATACAGAGATACTCAATTCCGCCTGAAGCCTACACGCCCAGCGTTTCCATCTTCACAGCTTTGGTGGTGGATCTAGCGGAGAGTGGGACGCCCAATCGTTGTGTCGGTGGCACGGCCTATATAGCCGATGCCTGGGGATATGGCCTGATCGTGTTTGACTTCCTGTCCGGCCGATCCTGGCGCATAGAGCACGAGTCCATGAAGCCCTCGGATTTGCTGAGTGCAGGATTGCCGCGATCCAGCACCTCCCAGGCGGGAATATTCACAGTAAGCCTGAGTCCCAGCGAAGTTGAAGGTAATTTCACGTAATTTCCAGCTGATAACTCTGAAAAACTCAGAAAATACATATATATTTTAATTTGAATAACAATTTCAGAGCGCTTCCTTTACTTCCACACACTGAATGGCTTCAATGAGGTCATGGTGTCCCTCGATTTGATCAACAATGAAACATTCTGGAAGTCCCCGAACGTCAGTGAAGTCGAAGATCATTTCCAAATCCTGGGCACCCGCGGAATCCAATGCGAATCGGAAGTGATGGATCAGTCCGGGAATCTCTTCTGCAGCCTCATCAGCTTGGGGGCTCTCGTAAACTGGCAGGAGAGCTCCAATTACACGGCGGACGACCTGCGAGTGGTGGCCTACAATCCGCACAAGATCAAATTCGTCACGGGCCTCAAGATCAATCGGAATTCCAAAGGAGAGGAGGAGCTCTGGGCCTTGAGCAGTCAGCCGAAGCTTTTTGTGGGCGGTGCTCTGCCCCAGAACGAGGTCAAGTTCCAAATAATAGGCTGCCGCACGGCTGACCTGCTTGCCAATACCCCGTGTACAGTGGGCGCTACAGAAACCACGCCCACTAACGTTTAAATAAATCTTAGTCTAACGAGTTTTAAGCTACGCATTTGAATTGCTCACTCTGGAAAGCTGACTGCTATGGTATTCGATTCTCTGTGCCAGAGAATGGCGTTGCCAGTTCAGGAAGATTATAATCGAAGTACGGTATCGACTGAACATATGTTTTTGTCCCATCTCTATGTTTACGTGTATAATTTTAGTTTCGATTTATTTACCATTAAACTTATTAATTAAGTAAATATGACGAACCTCCAACGTTGGCTGTTTTACGCATCGATATTTGCGGTGCCATATCTTTCAATTTGCTTGGGAACAGTGCAAACGCAATTTACAAACAAGTATTTCTTGCATGTTCAACTTTTACCTCTTTTACTTCTGGTGATTTTCGGCGTAAGTTCTTGGAAATAATGCCGCTGATAACACATATTATAAGTCTTTATGATTGTATCCTCAGATCTATTCCGTTTGGACTGTTCTATATAGAACTCTCACTTTTAACGATTGTCCAGAGGCCGCCAAGGAACTTCAGGATGAGATTCTGGAGGCACGCAAGGATTTAATAGCCAAGGGATTTCGGTTTCGCGACTGAAGAGCTGGGACTTCAACCTCCCAAGACCTGTGCATGTTGATCTGTAATTCCATTATTTATAAAAATTCACGCAAATGTTCTCTAGACCACATTTTGTGGGGGCGAACTGCTTGTAAGGGTTGATTTCCCCAGGTGCCTAAGACATTTTGCTGAGGTTTTGTAGACCAAAGCTAAGAAAATTCTTAAGAAATAAAAATGGACAGCATTCAGGAGTTTTACGTGCAATTCCTGAATCGTAATAGAAAGTAGTCAGTTTAAAATAATCCTCAACTAAATAAAAACTACTTAATACTGTCGAATTTTAAAAACCTTTTATTGGTATAATACAATTTAATTGGTTTTTAATATGTTGTTAAAATTTGAAATTTTTCAGGTTCGAATATGCTTTTTTACTGGGTTTTTATAATATAAACGTCTTGACTTAGCAAGTAAATAAACTTTTATATTTTTGAAGAAGAGATCGGGAAAAAAAATCAAAAAAAAAATCTTTGCATATATTTTATTTTAAGTGCGTATATTTGTTTATACTTAAAACCGAATTTGGAAATACTTTTTAAATCTCGTCTATACATTTGATATGGCCGTTAAATACGATTTCAGTATAGTTTTTAAGATTTATCATTATTGGCGTTAAGTTTAAAGTTTGGTTTTTAGAGTATTGAAGTTTGGCTGTACCTAAATCTTTCCCAGCACTAAGCTCAGAACTTCATCACTGACTGGAATACACCTCGATCGGGAGTCTAGAATATTGATGCGCACACGTACGGCTGAACCGAGCCCAGCCCAAGCTGTGCAGGCAGGTCTGACTCTTTCTCTGCCGTCGCCGTTCCAGTCTGGAAAGCGTCGTGGGGAATGGGGCTCATAATGCCAAGCTCTCCGTAACAAACAACAGTTTGCGCTTTACCATCGAACTGTTCACATCACGACTACCACTCGTCACGTGCTCAGACCATATATGTACATATATATAAAAAGAAATAATTTCAAAATTCTCAGAACAACAAGAAGCGTAAAATGAGTCACAAAGTCGCTGCGGTGTGCCTCCTGATGAGCTGCCTAATTGCCTCGGCTTATAGTGCTGCTAAGGTGAGTTTTCGTCTAAGCAAAAAACCCAAAAAATTGACATGCAAAAAAGCCAGTAGCCAAAGCGCAAATCATTACACAACAGCGAAGCATGTCAGGGGCGCTGAAAAAATAGCATTTACCATCTAGGTGAAGACGTGATTAAGTCGAAAAACTAAATAGCTTAGGAAAAAACGAACACATTGCATAGCTGCACCCTTTTCGTGGCAGCAACAAGTGGCATTTCGAGGGTTTAACGAACTGCTGCCAAGTCGGAAAATGCCGCAGCGGAAAAGCATAGAGCATAATTGACATTATAAATAAGCCAGAGAGCGCCTGTTGCTCTGTTGTTATTTCCATTTGGGTACAAAAACCGGTTCTGGGACCAGTTTCGATTTCTCATAGAAAGAACCGGTGTGCCGGCAGCCCAACTGCAACTTCACTCCACAAAATGAACAAATTGAAACGACCCTAAAATTACTCATATTAAACGGGTAATTTGATCAAAATTGTTTTATAATAAAATAATATTAAATAATAATAATTTGTCTTTTTTTAAACAGAAAATAATGTTAGCACTTTAAAACCCATAAAAATATATTTATACATTTTCTATATCACACCCAAGAATATATATATTTTTGTTCAGTGCACTTAATTGTGATACATACATATTTACTGAGCTGTGGCAAACTCTGTTGTTGTTTAGATCGACAAGAATGGCTGCTTCCTCCAGCGATGTGTCAGCAGTCGCTTTTTATATAACTTCAACTTCAGCACAAACAATTTGCATTTGTGTATATACGTTGGTGATTATTTTATTTATTTTGCCTAAGCATTTTCCGTTGGCATTTTTCAATCGTTAACGTTAGTCACGATCTGTAAAAAACTATTGGAACCAAATGTATTTTTTTTGCTGGGATAACATCAATTTGTTCATGTGTATCTATACTTCGCCTTAATTTGAACAATAATAATCAACGGAGATTAAATTAAACGAATATAATTTGGTTGTACATCCTCGAAGCAAATGTATATCAGTTGCTGACCCATAAAATAAACATTTTTCACAATCACGAAGGTCTGAAATTAAAGCTTTAAAAGATTAGAATAAGTACCAGGTTTTCTTTTAATATATAAATTTATATATTTTTTTTTGCTTTTTAATGTCTTTAATTACTTAAGAAGATGCTGAAATTGCGTTCTCTTGGCGACTTCGTTCATTAGATCCCACATTTTGAAATTCATTTAAATTGTTGGAGTATACGCAAGCTAAGAAAACACATGTTTAAACCACTAAAGAAACAAAATACAAATTATTTATATTTAAAATTCAATTCATTGTATATTTTTTATTAGATAGACCACAAATTATGAACTATTAAATCTACATTTTGAATTAAACCCTTATAGATTCAATAGACATTTATTTTCTTTATCTATCTCTTTCATATACATACCGGTTCAAGTTCAACAATATTTTGGCTTGTTGATTGGAGCATGTGGCAGTTGTCCCCAATTGATAAACAAAGAGTAACAATATTTGGACCCTGTCCACTCAGCCGCATGTGATTTGCATGCCTCAGCTTGGCTGCACACTCTAAAAATGCAAATTAGGAAATGCACCCTCAATTTAAACGAGTGCAACCATTTCTATCACAGAAAAAAATTAGCAGTTAACCATACAAGTGCTTATGATTTTTATGTATTTTGTATAAGTTTAAAAAGCAATTTATTGAAAAGTATAGGTATAACATTATACTATCAATTTGAACTTTATTCCCATACATTCAAATATAGATTGTTTTAATTTGTAGTTATGTAGTTTTATCTTGTGCAAGTAATATTAAAATATATTTTTAAATTTATTTTTCATATCTGTATTCCATTTTGCAGGTGCCCATCTCCATCTACTACGAATCCCTGTGCCCAGATAGCGCCAAGTTCATTACTGAGCAGGTGTACCCGGCGATGAAGGGAGAGCTGCGCGATGTGGTGGAACTCACCTTCGTGCCGTTCGGAAAGTCTCAGGTGAGTGGCCTTTAGCCTCGTTCATCGGCAGGACAATGGCTCATTTGCATGGCTCTTTTCCTTGCTTCCTCCGCAGTTCTTCACTCAGGGCTCCGAGGTGACGTTCACCTGCCACCACGGTCCGAATGAGTGCTATGGCAACAAGGTTCATGCCTGTGCCATCGAACACATCCAGGCCAACTCCTACCAGGTGGAGTACACCCGCGAGTCCCTCACGATCGACTTCATCAACTGCCTGATGAAGGCGGGCAAAAACTTCCCGGACAACGTCTATCCGGGCCAGCGTTGTGCCTCCGAGAACCACATTAACAGCTGGGAGAACATCAAGAGCTGCGCCAACTCCACCGAGGGCAGCATCCTGCTCCGAAAGGCCGGAGAAACCACCAACCGACTCAAGGAGCCAATTGCCAGCGTGCCCACCATCCTGTTCAATGAGGTATGTGATTTACAGTAGATCAAGAAATAATAAAAATAACAAATAATTATTGTTATAATTATTATGATGAAGAAATAATAATAAATAATAATGTTTGAAATGGTTACTCCCATTTTTAGTCGAAAAAGGCAAAAAAAAAAGGTTTTCACAAAGAAACTTATGTGAACGGTACTTTTCTTTTTATAAAATCATATCATATACTGCAGAGGTTTAATTAATAAGTAAATATTTGTTGTGAAAGAATTTTAATCTTAAATTACTTAACATATATTATTTTTAATTGCAGCAATTTGACAAGAATGTTAATGAACGCGCCCAGGTGAACTTCGTTGGCACCATCTGCAAATACGTATCCGCCCCGCAGCCCCGCATCTGCAACCAGCACAACGGAGCCTCCACATCTTCCTTGGCCAGCGTAAGCGCCATCCTTGGCTCCCTGCTCGGTCTTTGGTTTATCCGCTCCTTCCACTAAGCTGTCTCTGATTTTCCCACAAAACTCTTTCAACTAAACACACACCTCTGGCGATCGTGAATCTCAAGATCTTGTGCATTGTTTTACTCTTGAACTTTTTATTGGTATGTTTTTAGGCCAATTGAAACGCAAGTCGTCCAATTATCCAGCTAGAATATGTGTATCAGAGATCAAAATAGTTTTTCCAGAGCTGATCTTAATCTAAAACAATTTAATAAAGTTTAAAATAAACAGGAAACTTTGTGTATTTATTTCATTATTTATACTTAGAATGAATGACATCATAAACATTTTATTTAATTTTTAATAAATGTTACCATTAATTAAATTAGATTATTGACACCAATTAGATAATGTACAAGCCCTACATTTATGTGCTGAAGATTAAATGAAATTTTCGTAATCTTAAAAATTGTGCCAAAATATTCGATTATACTTTCGCCGAAAAGTATGCAAGACTAAAATATATATTTGAATGCCACTTACAAAAGAATTGAATTGGATCCGTGGATAGACAACCCACTGATATAGTAAAAAAAAGCGAAAATCAATTAAAGTAATTTGATTTGAATGTCTTTTTATTGTTCTCTATTTAATCGTTTTATTAGGTCAATAAGTACAGCAGGCGAGACTCGTTTACTTCTTCTTCAGGAAGGAGCTGACCACAGCCGGAGCAGCGTAGGTGGTGATGGGGGCGGCGAAGGCGGGACTGGCGGCATAGGTGGTCACCGGAGCGGTATAAGCTGGAGCACTGTAGGCGGTGTAGGCAGGAGCGGCGGCGGCATAGGTGGAGTAGGCAGGAGCGGCATAGGTGGCCACAGGTGCGGTGTAGGCCAAAGGAGCTGCTGCGGAGTAAGTGGCGTCATAAGTGGCCACTGGAGAAGCGATATAACCAGCCTGGGCGGCGGCAATGCAGAGAGCCAAGCAGACGAGGAACTTCATGTTGATTTGGTTGATTGGGTTTCTTGGTTTGTCAGTAACTGATACTCTTGCCAACTTTACTTATCCATTTTATAGCACAATTGTCATCAACACACTGTCAAACGGGTTTCGTTTCCGAATTAAAAAATCATAATTAGAACACAATTGTGTCCGCATTGAGATTTGTCGTTGGGTAATGTTCGTTGAACGCGGAAGCTGTGTCTCGGTTTTTACCAGCCAGTGGCGTGTCAAATGGATTACTTTTTTCTTTTGACTATTGATCTTTTTATCTTTCGTCTCTGAGTGGTATTGTCCTAAATATTTAAATATCTATTATCTTGAACATATCGACATACGTAAAAATGCAATTGATATTTCAATGTAGTGACGAGTATATTTAAAAAATAGACTAATTTGTCTTCTCTTATATAAAATATGGTTCCGAAGGCACATCTTTAAAATGCATAATTAATAACTTTTTTTTATATAAAATATATAAACCAAGTTTAAAATAAATTTTTTTCAAATATTGTTTTCAAATATCAAATAAAGAAAGGGAGTAATGTTTTTGGCCCTGCTTACTTGCGGGAGCAATATATATCATCATATATTCAATTCTGTATCAACCAAAAATACGCACTATATAACTTTTTTTTCTGTTTAGGAACCTATTTTAGATATGAAGGCTTAAGAAAGGTACAAATTACATTTGGAAGAAACAATTAAATATTTCAAGAAAACCAACATATGCATTTGCAATTTTTTTATGCTCAACAAATGCCAAACGCAGAAGATAAATTATGGTATGCTTTTTTGATACACTCCTTCATACTATTTTCTATAAATCCCTTTTAAGTGGAGTACTTTTGAATCCAGAATGGAATCATCGCAACTGTTTGGTACTCATAGTTAAGATTACGACACTCGACCAATTACCGCCAACTTAAGCACCAAATATTTATCATAGATAGCTATGCATCGAATAGAGCCATAATTAAAAAAGGTAATGATGAGCAATCAATATGATAACTGTTGGAACTGCTATAAGTGCACCAAATCCCACCAAGAAATGTGTACCAAAACTTTGATTGTTTTTGTTTTTATATTTTATTCAAAGGAAACATTTTTTTATCATATCATTTGGTCGGATCAATTTGGTAAGCAGACAAGTCCGGTTTATTTCTTTTTCAGGAATGAGCTGACCACAGCTGGAGCGGCGTAGGTGGTGATGGGGGCGACAAAAGCGGGACCTGCGGCATAGGTGGCCACCGGAGCGGTATAGACCGGAGCTCTGTACACCGAAGCGGAGTAGGAGGAGTAGGCAGGAGCGGCATAGGTGGTCACAGGAGCGGTGTAGGCCAAAGGAGCAGCAGCGGAGTAAGCGGTGGCATAAGCCGGAGCAGCAGCATAAGTCGCCACTGGAGAAGAGATATAACCAGCCTGGGCGGCGGCAATGCAAAGAGCCAAGCAGATGAGGTACTTCATGTTGATTTGGTTGTTTGGGCTTGTTGGTTTGTCAGTAACTGATGCTCTTGCCAACTTTACTTAACCATTTTATAGGCATTGGTCCACAAACGTGTTTTCAAGTACTAAATTAGAACACAATTACCATGGCAAAAGTATTATTGCTGAGTAATGTTCACTGAACGTTGGTCGGTTACTATAAGTGGTATAATCCTATTACCACTCAATCGATAGTATTTCAGTAGTTGCATACATGTAAATAGCTTACTAAAAAATGTTTTCTTTATATGTAACGTTTTGATTATATTAATTTAAGTAGTGTTAAACTATTAATGAACCAAAGATAAATTATACTTTTAAGAATGTATCCCATTATTATTTGTATGTTGATGTAACTCTTTCTCTTAGCTAAAACCAAATTATAATTAAATAGACAACACATCTTCCTAGTCTAGGGCTTTCCCGACTCCTTCAAAGAGCTTGTTTTTATGAGAAATATAGGCAAGGGTCAAAGGTCGGACAGATGATGCAGCTCGTTGATAAGGATTTCGCATTTTTAGATGATCATCGATGGGCAAACTCATCACTATATGCTCCGGTATTTGTTGTCAAATATTTTGATGGCCGTGTGTTGGGCACCGTCAGCTGCTTATCGGCTAATTTGTTTTTGGTGCAAAGCGATAAGCTGCGGGGGAGATTGGCGGTATGGGTGTAGGTATATTCACTGTAGCAACAGGCTAAACAGAAGCTAAATCGCATTCATCCGGACAGATTACACCAGATGGACATGAAATCGGAGGTGGAGGTGGCAATTGTTGTAAACAAGTCATTAGCGAATCAATTTTCTCGCCCTGTTGATATGCAAGCGAGAATTGATTACCCAGGGGAAAACTTAAAATTTCTGAGTAAATCAGTAATACTAAACTGCACATATTTCAAAAATAGTCTATTTACTAAATGCTGAACCTAAACCGAATTGTTTTTGCATTAATAACAGTAATTAAAGAAATGTAATTAATATAATTTTATTTGTTCAATGTATAAATTTACAACTACTGTGACAGGACAATCTACTTTGCTTTTCTAAATATAAGAGCGACTTACTCATTCCAAATAATTTTTATTAAAACGCTTACAGCATCCAGTATTTCTTTAGATCCAATGATTAACAAATAAAACAGTTTAGCAATCTTATTCAAATAAATAAAAAGGCTTTAGTCATCATTCTGTTAGTGTCTAAAATAACTTACTGTTTGGAACTTATAAATTTGTATATATTATTATATAGTTTCTTGGGGTCATCTCTAACCCACAGATATAAATTAAATTAATATGCAAGGCGAGCTCAAAGAGAATCTGTAAGTTCTGAGCGTGGGGATTCAGTGAATTGGATTTAGACCTAATTAAGTTACAAACGAATTTTTGGGGGCAGGTTGGAGACAAAGGGGAAGGGATTAAAGGGGAGAATGCATTGGGTCAAAACAGGGGACTTTGGCAACTACGTCAGCAGCCACTTGTGACTGCCAATGATGTTCATTCATTCACATCCGCTGGCCCAGGCAGTGTCGAGCAAATAAATCTGAGCGCGCTGCTAATTTGACGTTCTCCCCGAAGCGACCTTACCCGCCCCATTTCGCCGAATTTTATTGCTAGCCTTTTGCACCCACGCATTAAATGAATTTTCGAGCGCCCAAAAATATCGCTGCATACTTCTGGGCAAAACGCTTCGGGAACCGCTCGGCATTTCGCTCGCTTCTGATTGGCCGCACTTACTCCGGCCCACGCATACACTCGCTAGCTCACGCACACCATCACGCACACACGCTCACAACCAGGAGCTGGTGTTGCAGCTATAAAGCTGTCCGATTTCCCTTTAGCGGCACCAAAAGAACTCTGACTTGCAGTCGAACAGCAGCAGCGGCAGCATAGCGAAACCATCCGGCAAGGACGAGGACGAGGACCAGGACGAAAGACAAGGACATTCGTTTCGGACAGCAGCCTACCACCCAACAACAAGTAGGTTTCGCCTCAGAAAGTGATTTACATTTGTGTTAGATTGTCAAAAAATCAGAACGGCATTGCAATAATATTTTCAAATTAGCCCCAAAAAATGTGTTCTTAAAAAAAAAGTTACATCAATATTCAAGCAAATTCTGAGGCATTTATTTGTTTTGATTTTATTTTGTAAATTTAGATATAATATACAACAATAAATTAAAGGAATTTAGGGTATTAGGAGTGCTAGTAGTTGGTTAATGGACTCATCCACTTCTAAACCGGTATTTTCTGTACATGTGTACATTTTAAAAAATATTATTTCATTTTTATATCACGGCGCCACTAAATTAACATAACTTTTTTATATTTAAAGCTAAAAAAGTTGTTTTAAATTTATTTTATTTTATTTTTGTAAATAACACCTAATTTTATAAAGGAAAAGTTTAAAAATTGAATGTAATTATGCTAAGATATTCAGCCTTTCTTATAAACATTTGGCTTAATTGTTAGCCGCTTGCCTTGATCAATTAATTTCCGAAAGCCCTCAGGGAAAGTTTGGACTTTTGCCGTTTTTGTTTATTTGTCTAATCTAATTGAATCAAATTAAATTAGAAACCATTATTGTGGAGCCTTCAGTCTTCAGTGTCTGTGGGAGGGGTCTGTCTACTTCCTACTTCCTTATCCGCTTTGATTTATTTTTAATAACTCCCACTTAAACGCTGCTGGCTAGGCGCCCCCATTGCCAAAGTTGAAACTTCAAATCGCTGTAAGAAAACACACAAAGTTGTAAGATATTAAAATTCAAGACATTTTTACAAGCAGCCGTATAAATCATGCATTATCCAAAGCGAAGAAAAAGACAGATGCGAATTTCAGACAACTTGTTGCTGTTGGACAACAGAACTTTGCAACGGACTTTAACTCGATTTAAGCGTTTTCCCTTCCCTGAAGAACCTTTGCATTCAGAGTAAAAATTTTGGCGACCCACATGCGATACAATTAAATTACATTGCCTGGTCGTAAAGAACCTAACAAATCCAAGCCTATATTGATAATCAGCTAATTGAATTTAAGGAAGAATATTTCAAACGTATAATCACGTCAAAAACAAGACATTTTTGTAAATCAAACTATTCTATGTGTTCTATAAAGAATCATAAAAATATATTTTTGGAGAAATCTTTTTGATTTTATTTTATAAATCCATTTTTAAATGTGACAGTTTTCAATCTGCCAACTTCACCTTAAGGTCAATATACCTTGAATGTAACTTTCCCTAAGACTACTGCATTCAACTTTTAACTTGGCTGCGGACTTTGCTAAACCGCGAAAAATCGCACAAACTCTTGACCTAACTTTATGTCGCTTTTAATTTGATTTAATTTTACTTCTTTTTCTACTTGACTAAGCCTAATTAATCTGTTGCCGATTGTACTGAATCTGATCTGATTCGATTTGAAATGATTTGTGCCAAAGGCACGCTTTGATTGGATGACCTGGTTCGAAGCTGTTTGTGTTGTCTTTGCGTGAATTATCAGCTTGTGATTAGAGAATTTCACACGGAAACTGATCGGCCAGCTGCTCGTGAACTTTGCATTCGGCATATCACTAACAAAAAATGTTATAGTTTAATTGAACAAACTCTAGGCTTAAAAAAGGAAAAGTTTCTAAAGAAGCAAGAAGTGCACTAAGGAGATTACAAATATAATAAAATTAAATATTAGTTGATGATTAAAGCAAAGATTATAATTATAACATTTTGAAACTTAAATCATTATTTAAAAGAACCATAAAATTTATAGGTAATTATTCCATTGTAATGAAGCTCTTTACCTATTTTTATTGCATTTTATTTTAATAGAAGATTCATTTTTTAAGTGTCAGATTAGAGAGAACGCTTGCACCTGTGGAAAGTTTTCGATGCTCGCCATTTACGGGCCTCGGAACGGGTATTAGTGGCCGTGTTTAGCAAGAGTTGTGGCAGCAATAGCTCATTAAGGCACTATTATCACAACTAAATAGCTGGGAAAATTGATAAGCCAAAGGGTCGAGTGCTGGCACGGCCCTGCGCCTCGGTAAACAATTATTATATATTTTCTCGGGTAATGAGAACGCTGTTATTGTTTTCGCACTGCGTGGGTGCGTTTGCTGTGTTGATTTTTACTGGTCTGGCACTGGTGGCGCTCTACATATTAATTTTCACTTATCGGCCGGTCATAAATTTAGCCCGACCAGTGTCTGAAAATAGTCCAGAGATCGGAGGGGAAAATTGGAAATGTGTGGGAGCGCGTGTCACGGATTGAGCGAAGATTACGAAAGAGATCGCCGTTTATCAACGGGGCGCAGATTCCCGATGTGGCATAAAGATCGAGCGACTTTATAGATCGGCCTCAGTCGCCGGCGGGAGCTTGAAAATGTGAAATCGCGCTCAGGAATTCGGCTGGTGGAATTGCCATATCAAACTCGAATTGGCAAAACATCCGCCACAACCATATCTGTGATTATATAGTAGCCATCTAGCGAAAAAAATTGTTTTAAATTAGTGCTGATAATCCCTGTAACAAGCAAAAAACAAAGAAAACTGCCGTATAAATTGCACAAAGCCCAGTTCAGCTAATCAGTCTGATTAAGGTGAGTTATTCAAACTGCAGTCGAAAGCGACACGCGACCAGGTTTGGTTCTTAATAAGAAATTTAAAGGGAATAACATGGCGTTTGATTGATGGGTATTCCCATCATCAGCTGTTACAACCTTAGTTCTAATAGCCAGACAATCGTGAAGTTGTATCTAAGTAACTACAAGAGATCTGAAATGTTATAATACAAATTATCCATATTAAATATTTGGAATCGAAACTAGTGAATACTATTGATTATCCTTTATGATATTTTAAATATTAACTATACTTGATCCACTTTGTGTAAATGTAACACTCAAACAAGTTCGGTTTCGTATAATGTACTTAATTGCGATGACATGGCGTATGATTGATGGGAAGAAGGAGCATCAGCTGTTGGCAAATTTTAATCGGTTTAATTTCGGTCCTAGGCCCACACGCAAACTGAAATTTAGTGGGAAATTCATGTAGGTCCCAGCCAATTAAATGTATTATCTTCTATCTATGAATTTTCTTCGGCTAGATGTCCGCAACACTTAAGAAATTCAAAGCACGTAATATACAAATGTTTGTGGAACTTCAACCTTTGGCCATCAGGTCACACACTCACACGAGCAGGCTAAATGTCTTAATGTTTGTGTGGGCGTTACATCAATCATAGTTCAAAAGTTTTTGCGGCCCCGGATTAGCTCCTTAAATGCATGTGGACCTTTCAGATTTGATTTCAACTGGCTCGCAGCGCTGTGCTCGGATTTCCTAATTAGTGCGGCGCCCCCGGCCAAAAGCCACATTGTCAGTGCCAGACTTCAACAGGTGCTCATCCCTTTGTCTCCGCTCCTTACTTGCAGGTAACATGAAATCCACAATTTCTTTACTGCTGGTCGTCATCTGCACCGTGGTCCTGGCCGCGCAACAGAGCCAAGCGAAAAGTAAGTACATCTGCTTAATTATTCTCCGCAGTTCAGTTTTTCAAATCAATAAATTAAGATATTACGGTCATGGAAAATATTTTAATTTCCACGATGCGAAACAAAGCTAATAAGCTAGTAATTTCCAAAAATTATACAGAAAAGTACAAGTATATAAACAACGATTTACGTTTAAAATCTAAAAGTCTCTAAAATAGCAAAGTTTATTTTTTTCCAATATCTACAGGTTTTATATAAATTTGACGTCTGAAAAATAATTTCTATGTGTTTTTTTAGTTTAAGGCTTTATTTGAAGACGATTTATATTTGCTTTTGATACTTTTTGTAGAATTCCCTTTTATCTTTTTGCAAAACATATTGTTGCACATTTATATAAATCTTTTAGTTATTATTTTACATTATTATCGTTTGATTGGATTTGATGAACAATGTTTTTCCTAGGGTGCCTGTGCCACCACATCAACACCTTTAAAGCTCTTCCATTGCAAGGTGAACTAGCCATGAAATATTCATTAAATTTGAGCGCGAAAAACAAAGCCATAAATGGGCGTCATGCTCGATTTCCGCACACCCTCCCCCAAACGAGGCAGCATCAATTGTTGCAGTTTAATGCAACGCAAACAAACGGGCTTCTTTGTTTTTCCAGCTGCGGGAACGTCAAATGGCAACAACAAGGGTGTTCAAATAGGGGCAGAGGGTTGTGGAAATGGGGCAAATGGGGAGCCATTTCCATTTCCCTTGCATGTTGCAACTATCTCAGATACACGAGCCATGTGCGACAACATTTCCTTGAAATTATTAATAGTGAATGTCGAGTGGCTCAAGGAGTGGTGACTTCTAGTCATCCGCTGCCATCAGAGCCCATCTGTTTTCCCATTCACTCTATTAGCAAAAGTTCTTGATTTGATTGCCTTTGAAACGGCATTTAAGATGCTTGCCAAGCTAACTTATTTAGAGCTCCCCAAGCGATTACATGGACAGTATTCTAAGCAGTTAAATAGCAAATTCACAGATACTCTGTAAATGTTACAAATGTTATACCCTTGTTATGGAATTCTAAAAAAAATTGTGAGACTTATTGAAAGCTTTTTTTAGTGCAATTTTGTCTAAAGGAAAAAACCATTTTTAGGTTTATATTTAAAAATTGTTCGTAGACTAAAAAAATTTTAATAATCTAATCAAAAATTGCTTTAACTTTTAAAAATAAATGGATAGCATAGACTAGGAGACTCTTATATTCGACATGGTTGCTGTTAAAGAACGAAAGTCCTTCAGATTACAGAAACCCATCAGCTTAGGAAAGTACGCCCCGCCTCCTTCCAATATTTAAATCCTGCGTATGTCAAGGACAACTCCCAAGTGTGCAACAGGGAAATTTATGTTTGTGTGGGCGGAAATTCAAAAACAGCAGAAAGTCAAAAGTTTGTTCACACACAGCCAGGCAAGCAAACAAAACGAATCTGAACCGTCACGGGGTCAAATGGTTATCGCCGGATGTCTCTCTTGAGCATTGGCGAACGATTAAAGATTTTGGCAGTAACGAAATCCACAGGAGCAGTCTATCTCCCAGTTATGGGGAATATATTGTGGGTGGTGCGTTGGGAAATGCACACGCGTCAGAGGGAACTTTAAGTGAGATGGGGGAGATCCCAAGTATCGATTAGTTACCGAGACAGTCTTTTTAGCCTTTTTTGCTGTCGGTTACTAAATTTAATAATTAATCACCAACCCAATGGGTATAATATTCGAAAACAAAGCTAAAAGCAATACATTTTTAATAAATTATTTACTTTAATATTAGACAGTAATTAAAGCCAAAAAATGGAAATCTTAGACCAGTTTATGTTTATCAAAATGTTTTTACTTTTGAATATGTGTTTCAAATGTATTAGTTTTAAATTCAGCTAGACTCTGAATTCCAGAAGTAAAACTAATGTTTTTGAAGAAACTTCTTATTATCTATCACACTTTAATGTATAAAGACCATTTTAAAATTCAGGCGTAGGTATAAAAAATATCTTTATTCTTTATAGCTCCTAAATTCAGGCAACACCACACGACTAATTCATTTTTCAATCATTTTGCAGAGGGATGCCAGGCCTACGGCCATGTGTGCTACGGAGGTCATGGCAAGCGCTCCCTGAGCGCCGGATCCGGGTCTGGAACTGGAGTGGGAATGGGAATGGGCGAGACAGCCTCCGGAGGCCAGGAGCAGGACTACGTGCGTCCAAACGGACTGCTGCCCATGCTGTCGCCGAATGAACAGGTTGCGGTGGCGCCCGAGGCCGACTTTAATGACTATCCCGCCCGTCAGGTGCTCTACAAAATCATGAGATCATGGGTAAGTGTGAAACATTTTTGAGTGCTACACACAACAACATTTCGAAATTTAAGAAATAAGGTGTTTAAAATAAAAATCCGCATGAAAAGTTGTTTAAAATTTATATTACAAAATAAGCAATCATGATATTACAAATATAGGGTTTCATATTAAATTAAAACTTAATCAATACACAAAATATTTAACTCGATCTTTGCTTTTTAGTTTAACCGGCCACGACGACCGGCCGCACGAATGGGTGAACTGGATTATCCTTTGGCCAATTCCGGCGAATTGAATGCCTTGAACTAAGACCAGCAAATATATCCAATTCACGTTTCCACAACCTACAGCGAAAACAACAAGAATAAATCTCAGAAAATGAGAGCAACCACAATATCAGCAGCAACAACAACATATGAATTACTTATGAATGTTAATTACTTTCGCAACTTGTATAAAATGTTTGATAAATGTCTACACATACCAAGCAGTCAATTTTCATGCTAATTGCATAAACATTTAACCAAAAAAACCCAACTGAAATTTTTAGGGGCTGGTAAGGATTTCAGTGCCAAAAAAAGGAGCAGACGACAAAGAATAAATCAATGAAAACGGCAAGACAGCGTGTTTCAATGTTTATATCAAATATATACATATATTTTATTTATGTTAATTTACGAGGAAAGCGAAAGACTACATATAGCTGTAATTTTACTTTAAATATATTAACTTCAAGAATAAATTCAAAAACCGAAGCTCAGCGCATCGAAACACTTTGTAAACTTTGTATGTTAAACGTTATAGGTGTATATGTTACGACAGCGCAACACAAACAAAATGTTCACAAAAGTTTTATTTATAAAAAGATGCTTTGTTAAATAAATAAGATAATGTGCTATAAAAGCAACAAAACTTCTATGATTGAACATTTTTTATTTCCTTATATTTTAAAACTAATTATGGGAAGTTCATCGCATATGCCTATCGAAAGCTGATGATTCTGGAATTCTTTGTTTTGGCTGTCATTGAGATTACGAGTTAATGAAAAGGAATGGCGACGAATCGTCATATTTAGTTCAGATGTCAGATGTAATGAGGTTTTGTATTCCACACCAGAAGCTTCGCCATTAAAAAAAAGTTGCCAGCAACTGGCAATCTTATCAGTATTATAGCTTTTTTTATTTGAATATAACTAATAACCAAAGAACAAATTAAAAAACTTAAAGTAGTTCTGAAGGATTTTTAAGTGATCGTTATTAATATTATAAGTGATATAATAAAACTGACAATGTAATGATTATTTTTTGACCGAAAAAAATGACTCAACAATTGATCAATATTTAAAAAATTATTTTGAAATTTAGTTGTGTTTATTTCACTTAATAAACTTTAAATATTAAGCAAAAAATATACTAAAAACATTCAGCAGCTACTGGGTTGCTGAACTGCTGAAATTTCAGCAAGTTGAATTTTATATAATTTATAATAAATTTGAAGAATGCTGGAGAAATCTTTTCCCGCCACTTCGCAACACTTTTTCCCAAAACTAGAACTGAAATACCCTTATTAAAACTTTTAATTTAACTTAACGTGGTATTTATCACCCTTTCAAGCTGCGGTCACACTGTTCCACACGTGTTTCGCCCGTAAACAGTTTTTTGCGTATGAGATCGTTCAATTCCTTATAGAAAATCAAGAAAAGGGGACAAATAAGACGATAGGATGACACACCTGCGGACGGAGGAAAAGGCGGACTCGGAGGAGCCAGCAGAACGGGCATCCGTGTTCAAGGAGAGCAGCTGCATCTTCCGGCGGAATCGGGCCCTCGGCTACGTGAGCAACCAGGTTCCGGCGGTCACCCGTTACATTCAGCGCCGCCGGGACACCTTGCTGATCACCTGCATCGGCAGATCCTTCCAGGTGTACACCGCCAACCATTTCCGGCTGCTGCACGTCAGCGGTCTGCATCCGGACGAGATCACGGCCTTGGCCACGGATCGCCTGCACACGTACTCGGCGAGCAACAAGTGCATCTACGCCTGGCGGGCGGGCAAACACATCCGTCACGTTTACCGCGGTCATCAGAAGGATGTCCACCTTCTGCTGCCCTTCGGCTCCAATTTGATTGCCATTGATCGCGACAATGTGCTGAAAGTATGGAATATACCCACCGAGGATGTCTATCTGGAGGTGCCCTTCCGCCCCGATGAGTTCCAGATCACCGCGGTAACCCATCCACCCACGTACATCAACAAAATTGTGCTTGGCTCCCAGCAGGGTCAAGTGAAGATCCTGAACATCAAGAAGAACAGTGTGGTGTGCACTTTGAGCCATCACGAGAGCAGAATAACCTGCATTGAGCCGTCTCCTGCTCTGGACGTGGTGGCCGTGGGCCACGGCGATGGAACCATTATGCTGCTCAACCTTAAGTTCGACGAGGTGCTGATGAACTTCCAGCAGGACTGGGGACAGGTCACCAGCCTCTCCTTCCGCACCGATGGCCCACCCATTCTTGTGTCCGCCTGCAGCAATGGTTACATGGCCTTCTGGAATCTGGAGGAACGCAAGTTGGCCGGTCAGCTGCAGGCGCACGAGGAGCCGGTGACCACGGCCATTTGCTTGCCCAGTGAGCCCGTGGTTTTCACCACCTCGCCGGACAACTCCATGAAGATGTTCGTCTTCGACATGCCGGATGGTGGGGCCAGGCAGCTGAGGATCCGCGAGGGGCACACCAAGCCACCGCTCTGCATCCGCTACCACGGCAGCTCGGGAGTGTCCATTCTCTCCTCCGGCGAGGACAGCACAATGAGAGTGTTCTCCACCATCTCCGAGTCGCTGAACAAAAGCATGGGCAGGGCAACCTATAATCAAAAGGCCACAAAAAAGAAGAGTATGTCATTTGTTTATTCTCCTGTTAAGAGTTTCCCTTTCATAGACAACTATTCCTTGCAGATCGCTTCCAGTATGACAAGTTCGGTATGCCGCCCATCCTGGAGTTCACATCGGACATTGCCCGCGAGAAGGAGTGGGACAACATTGCCGCCATCCATGCGGGCGTCATTCAGACGACCACCTGGTCGTTCGACAAAAACCGCATGGGTGAGCACCGTCTGGTGCCGCAGCAGTTCCAGAACAGCAACCGCACAAACTTCCAGAGCGAGACCACTTGCATTATGCTGTCGCATTGCGGCAACTTCGTGATCATCGGCTACAGCAGTGGCGACATCGAGCGGTTCAATATCCAGTCCGGCATTCATCGAGCTAGCTATGGTTCTCCAGGTCACAAGATGGCAGTGCGCGGCTTGGCCAGCGACAATCTTAATCAGACCGTCATCTCTGGCTGTTCGGAGGGTCTGCTCAAGTTCTGGCCGTTTAAAGGAATTAATTCTTTTAATTCGTCGGTTGATAAGCCCCTGGCCGTGCTGCGCCTGGCGGATGGTATTGCCCTTATGCGACAGCACCGCGAGAGCTCCATGGTCGCCATTGGCCTGGAGACCTTCAAGGTCTTTGTGGTGGACATGCACACGCGAGTGATTGTCCGCAAGTTCGTCGGCCACACGGCCAAGCTGAATGACCTGGCCTTCAGTCCAGACAGTCGCTGGCTGATCACTGCCGCCATGGACTCGACGATCAAGGTGTGGGACATACCCTCCTCCTACATGGTGGATCACTTCCGGGTGGAGACGCCTTGCATATCGTTGAGCATGTCGCCCAATGGGGATTTCCTGGCCACCGCTCATGTTGGCCTTCTGGGCATTTACCTGTGGGCAAACAAGACGCTATTCAATCAGGTATCCCTGCGCTCCATCGATCCCTTGGAGGCGGCTCCCTATGTGGGATTACCCACCAACGTGTGCGATGCCATGGAATTGGAAGACGGCATGCAGGAGCTGCAAATTGACGAAGAGGATGAGACGAAACTAGGGGAGTTAATCGATGCCAAGTATGAAACACCAATTCAGCTGTCCGAGGATTTAATAACGCTATCCGGTCTGGCTGCATCTCGCTGGCAAAATCTATTGGATTTGGAGCTGATCAAGCAACGCAATAAACCCAAGGCGCCACCAAAGGCTCCCAAGCAGGCTCCTTTTTTCCTGCCCACCGTTTCGGGACTAGAACTGCGTTTCGATGTGCAGAATGGACAAACGGAGGAGGCCAGCTCGCGAATCCGAAAGGCTTCAACGCTTAATAATCTTACTGCCTTTGGACAGCTGCTGGAGGAAACTTCTGATACCCAAGAATTCGATCCCGCTGTGGCGCACTTGACGCAACTGGGTCCCTCGATGGTGGACTTTGAGATCAAATCCCTGCACCCGGAGGCTGGAGGAACCCTTCTCGCCATGCTACAGTTCCTCAAACTCGTAGAGTTTATGTTCGCCACCAATCTGAACTTTGAGCTGGCCCAATCCTATTTGAGTGTCTTCCTGCGATCTCACGGTCTCGGCTTGACGGAGACTCCGGAGTTGGTAAAAGCGCTGCGCAGTGTTTCCCTGAAGCAGCAGGAGTCTTGGCAGCGAGTAGAGGAGAAGCTGATCTACGGCACTGGAGTCGTGGCTGCACTCCGAAATTTCGCACATTAGTTACTAGCTTCTACAAAATTTTTGTAGATTTAACATTGAAATTTTGTAAATAAATTTACAAGAATTTAAAAAAAAATGAATCATGTTTTCGATTAGTTCTTTTCGAGTATTTGTTTTGATCCTTTGACAATTCAGCGCAATCCAGACACATTTGGACAGGCAAGATTTAAATTCAAAAACTTGACAACAAAAATAGGATCATAAAAAATTGAACTCCCTGCATTGAAAACAAAGATGATCATAACTAATCCCTCTCCCACTACTTTTAAGGGTTCGCAAAATCCAAAGTTATGTCCATTTACCTTTTATCTCCTACTTATCCCAGATAACATTTTAAATAATATATTCAGAAATGAAAGTCATTCATATTAATCACGCCAGGCACTTTAACGGCTGCTATATGCTAGATATCTGAAATTGGCATTAGGCAAGTGATTCACACCCCAGATGACGGTGCAGCGATAATGAAATCAAGCAGATAACTCGGGTAGGTGAAACTGGATGTATGGAAAGAACAAAGTACAGCGTTTGAGTTGAAATTGTGTATTAATTATTTATTTGTTATATCCGTTTAAACTAACGCTTTTATTTATGCTGGAATTAAATAACTTAAACTTGTTGCTAGACGCGTTCGCTGGCGCGGACTTTAGATACGGTTCTAGTGGCGGCTGATTTTCCATTTCAGTTTAGTTTCAGTATTCGTTTCGTTTCTTTGACAATCCAACGCAACATAAACGAAAAGAAAAATGTCCCATTGGTTTTCAAACAACCACGCGTTATAGACATAGTGCATATATCTGATAAGTTCCTTTGATTTATACCTAAATATCGTAGCTTGCATGAAATAACTTTAAATCTCGATTGGTTGGGTCTCCTAGTGTATGTTGGATGGTGTGTTTGGGTGCATTAGGGAGTTCTTCGGCCATTGCAAGCGCAGTTACAGTGTTCCGGGAGCTGGTTTACATATTATTACTGCTGGTTGAATGGGGTACTATTAGGGGCGTGTGTGTGTCCGGGGTTGAAACACGCAGCGGGGGCGCTTAACTCGATGTGCACTGCTGGACGCGAGGGCCATCCTGATAGCCGCCGTCGTCCTCATCGTAAGCCATGCGCTGGTGTTGCTGGCGGCGTTGCTTGGGATCGAAGTCCT